GGTTTATTGGGCAGACATTGCGCTTTTGGAGGGAAAGAGGAGAGAGATTCCATGAGAAACCCTAGGACAAGAAAACACTGGATACCCAAGGGTTTAGGCTCCCAATGCTGCAAAATACTGACTGCAATGGGGTTGCTCATGGTAGGAAGACCTCTACCAGGAATATTTGCAGGATTGGGCCCTTATGCTGGAAATCTTACTGCCCATTTTCAAGTGATCTCTCTGGAACAAGGCTTGCCTTGATTTTTTGTTTCGGGCCCTAGATCCCTTACTACTGGTACAGGGACCGTTGTTTAGATTCACAGGTTTCAATTGATCAACAAATGGAGGTCAGGAAGCAATTTTCTGTAGAACAGCAGTTCTTTAGCTTTTCAGTGTCTGGACCTCACCTTAAGCAAAAAAGAGAGATTTTCATGGGCCCACCTCACCTTCCCACCTGTGGCTTAGGGATTGAGATGTGCCCCATGTTGCAGAAGCACCAGGAAGGGATCCACAGACTGACAACACGAGCCATAGTTTGAGAACCACTATACTAGGATGTCCTGGCAGGGAACTTCATCTAGAGAAGTGAGTGGGGATCATCCATTGGGATTAGATGGATGTATCCATGCGCTCAGTTTCCTATGACTGTAGGAAGGTGGGCACTGGTGGAGATCAACCCAGAAAACCGTTCTTTTACTTTTCAATAAGGGATCTTGAGACATGGCAGGGATGATAAATTGAGCAGCTCTTAATTGAAGCAATTCTGTGTGTGTTCTGCACTGGAGTTCTTGATAATGGTATCTTACTGACGTGCAGGCAGGGAATTTCAGGGAAATAATTGCAAGAGGAAGAAATCTGAAATTAGTTCAGTGATGGACGATTCCTTTGAAGGTCGAAATTGTACAAGTAACAAGGTTTTCCTACCAATACCGAGGACACATTTTTATGCAGTTAGATTTATTTTTTTAGAGAAAAGCTCGGGAATGGATATGACAATTAAGTCAGTTAACAAAGCTGAACAGAAACAGTTGCGCAAATAGCACTGGCTTATTCAGCCTTTTCTATGGCATGATACATATGTCCCCTCCAATGTACGAGAGACACTGCTGTTCAGAGCACATTGCTACGAAGATGGCAGAGATACCACTTCAGCATCCCCACCCCACAAGCCCCCAGAAGGAACTCTGGTTCAATCAGCAAGAATTCCTCCCCAGGACTCCATCCACAACCTGGCTCCTCTACATCCCGGCCTGAGAGTGCCGGGGCAGAAGCTTGCCCTTAACTTGAGATGGGCTCAAATCAGATCCAAACAGCCCAAACTTTGAGGAAGCCGAATCCGTATCAGGCCCATATGAATCTTTAATAATAATTAACAAAACTGGATTGATTTTGCGTGCCCAATGTTATTGAAACCGCACACCTCTTCAGCTGAAAAAACCTGACTATTACCGTAGCTTTGTCAATTGTTACAGCGCATGATGGCATCACTGCCTAATGTTTAACTTTAAATTATCGCAAAACTCATTCCCAGCAACACCCTTTGTGTTAAATCTGCAAGGCCCGAAATTAATGGTGCATTGCAGTCATGGGCTGTAAGCCTCAGTGACAATCTAGTAATGAATGTCGAACAAACCAGAACTGGCTGTTTTGTTACAAACAAAGCTAAAGTGCAAAGAGTTTTCCAGCTATGCTTTAACAATAACAATTCTATGCATCTATCCTTGGTATCTAAGCAACATTTACCTATTGATAGCAAAGCCATATGGATCTTTGGTTTCCAGATACCTTTTGCTCACATTATTGTTACATTATTGCGGAAAGGGATCTGGGGGTCATAGTGGATCACAAGCTAAATATGAGTCAACAGTGTAACGCTGTTGCAAAAAAAGGAACATCATTCTGGGATGTATTAGCAGGAGTGTTGTAAGACACGAGACACGAGAAGTAATTCTTCCGCTCTACTCTGCACTGATTAGGCCTCAACTGGAGTATTGTGTCCAGTTCTGGACGCCACATTTCAGGAAAGATGTGGACAAATTGGAGAAAGTCCAGAGAAGAGCAACAAAAATGATTCAAGGTCTAGAAAACTTGACCTATGAGGGAAGATTGAAAAAATTGGGTTTGTTTAGTCTGGGAAAGAGAAGACTGAGAGGAGACATGATAACAGTTTTCAAGTACATAAAAGGTTGTTACAAGGAGGAGGGAGAAAAACTGTTCTCCTTAACCTCTGAGGACAGGACAAGAAGCAATGGGATTACATTGCAGCAAGGGAGTTTTAGGTTGGACATTAGGAACATCTTTCTAACTGTCAGGGTGGTTAAGCACTGGAATAAATTGCCTAGGGAGGTTGTGGAATTTCCATCATTGGAGATTTTTAAGAGCAGGTTGGACAAACACCTGTCAGGGATGGTCTAGATAATACTTAGTCCTGCCCTGAGTGCAGGGGACTGGACTAGATGACCCCTCGAGGTCCCTTCCAGTCCTATGATACTATGAATTTACGTGCTGCACATTAATTGAAAAATTGGTGCCATTCATACACACAGCTTTACATGCACAATATGCTATGCTCAATTTTATTATTCTACTGTAGCGCCAAGGAGCCCTAGTTTGCGTGTAAGGCAAGAGACGACAGATGGCTACAGACAGATGGAGGAGCACAAGGAAACAATGAACCAATATTGGTCGGTATGATCAGCTCTGGTCTCAGTACACCAGTGGTCTAACTATTATCAAGTTTTTTGTGGGCATCATGGCAAAAGTGAGTTTTAGGGAGGGTTTTGAAAGAGGACAAGTTGGTAGCTTTGTGGATGTTTATGGGGGGCTCCTCCCAAGCATGAGGGATAGCATGGGAGAAAGCATGAAGTTGATCGTTTGAAAATTGAACCAGAAGGGGAAGGAGGCTGGGATCATGGGCTGGCCGGAGGTGAGAGTCAACCTCTCGATACTGAATGAGAGATAATGGGTAGGGTGGGGCTAGGCCATGAAGGGCCTCAAAAGTGAAGACAAGCAGCTCATGTTTGATGCGATAGAGAAGGGGGAGAAAGTGGAGGGATGCAAAGAGAGGGGTGACATGGGCAAAGAGACAGGCAAAGAAAATGATATTTGCAGCAGCATTCTGAATGGATACCAACAGGGCAAGATTGCATTTGTCAAGGCCAGAGAAGGACACCTGAGAACATGGGTCTAAAGGGACTTGCAAACTTCAGGCATTTACTGTCCCATGACTGTCCCCTGGGCATAAATTGTGGTTCTTCGGTGTGCATTTACATTCTGCAGTGGTCAGATCAGCAGCCCCATCAGAATGGCTAATAGATCCCGCTACACCAGAAGGGAGAATGTGCCACTGGGCTGTGTCATCTGAAGATAGCAGCCACCTGCACTGGATAGGAACAGGCTGAAGAAGACTCAACCATCTTAACATTACATATATATTAGGTACACTGAAGTGAGTCTTATGTCTTCCTCTGAAGTAGCGAGCATCGGCCACTGTCAGCTACTGACACTGACTAGACTGCACCCTGTCCTGTCCTGGTATGGAGGAAAGATGAGTTTATGGTTAAGGCATTGGCCCGCGAGTCAACTGATGGGGGCTTGATTCTGAGCTTTGCTAGACTCCCTGTGACTTTGAGTTAGTTACTTAGTGTGTCTCTCTCTCTTTCTCTCTGCCTCAGTTCCCTATCAGTAAAATGGGCACACTTTGACTGCCTCCTCTGTCTAGGTTGTAAGCAGGTGGTGTCTCTAGCTATGTGTACGTACAGCATCTGGCTCAATGTACCCCTGACCGGATGGAGGTTTATTTTAATAATAATAAGTATGCAATTCTTACATTGCCTGAATTCACCAAACCTCTATGATCTGGAAAAGAGGGTTTGAAATCTCACCAAAAAACGGTTTTCTCATGATATCTGTAGGGTGTTTCCCACTTCAGCTCTGCCTGGAGACAGCGCAGAAATATCCTTTCTCCAGCTATTTAATTTGGCACTGCCATGTTCAAACCAGATCAGGATGATGCCAGTCACATGACAACGAAGAACATTCAACCAAACATTTGACTCTCAAGGTTCGGTTTTGTCTTGAGGGATGGGCACAGATTTGGGTTGCTTTATACTTTTATCCAAATTGGATCACCTATTCCTACTTGGAATTATGCCAGAATCCACCCTGAGAAAGGGGATGACAACCCCAGAGGCTCAAGAAATAGTTCTCAGTGCTTCTTTCACTGTTAGAAATTAAAGATCAATGGCACAATCCAAAGCCCTTCAAAGTCAATGGACATCTTTCAGTTTACTTCAGTGAGCTTTGGATCCAGCCCTAAAGGAAATGCTTTCCCTCTAACTCACAGCTAAAATACAGCTTAGTAAATATCATACAGCCAATAAATGCATGCTCCTGCTGAGATCATGTGCGATAAAATAATGGAACAAGGATAAAACCTCCAAAGCCCAAAGCATACAAACAAAAGAAGAATATGTATCCAAAAATAAGCCCTCCGTGCCATACCCTACTCACTCGATTATGCTTATGCACTGAAGCTGATGGAATTATTTGCGTGAGTCAGGCAAGCATGATTTTCCCCTGTTGATGTAAGCCAGCCATCCTTACTCTCTCTCTCTCATTGAAGTCAACGGCATCACTCGCGTAAGGACTGTTCCTGCGACTTAGGCCTGCAGGATGTAGTCCTGTATTTGCAGCAGGTCTAGGTAAATGTACAATGTTATGTTAATATGGAACCAGGTGTTAGCAACAGGAGTTTTCGAAAGCTACAAAAGGATCGGAACATTTGCAAGGTGCTGACCTCAAACTAATATTCATTTAGGACCCCTGGCTATTTGAGTGTGTTCATGCAAAGCGGCATTCATTCCCTGGCTATTATTCCGGAGTCACAAGGACCCATTGGATAATGAATTCCATGGCTCAAAGGACAATTTATAGGGATGTGTAAAAGTCCCAGATCATATGGGATCCTATAGCGGAAGCTATAAAACAGAGCCTTGCAAGGGTTTCTGTTGTTAACAATGCGGAGCCCCAAAGCTCAGTGTCTCACCTGGCTGATCTCAGAAACTGGAGGCCTATGTCTGACATTATTCCAGGTAACAAAATCTTTTACTGGGGTCAGACTTTGATTGACTTTGGGGCTCTGTTGAGCATGTTTTTATTCCTGGGATAACTTGGCAATAACAACGTTTGTAAAGACCTGCCAAGTAGTTGGGATTTTATCTTCACAACCAATTCCATCTAATGTACTGATATTTTTCTTCTAGTATATGAATCCTTTTATTCAATATATGGCTGTTGAAATTAGAAAGTGCATGTCTCCAGCTGAATTAGTAGAATTTCATTGAAGACAGTTTATCTGTCTATCTACAGTGTTATTTGGGTATTTATGTGTGTCAGTAACATCAGGAGTGATGGCTTCACACTGAGTTACATGGGTTCATTCAGCCATAAAAAGCACTCACAGCCACACATGATCCTGTCTTAGTTTTTTTTCACCTGCTCTCCTCATAATTGGCAGAAGTGAGGCAAACAATTAAAAAATGATGCCCCACCATGTGTGTGAGACTTGGCAGATGAGCGCAATTTGAAAAGGGCACGTCTGGAAAAGTTCATTTTGAATTCTCGGTCTCTTTCTGTTTCCCATTTCATTTTAAATCATCCATGAAATTTCATAGATAATGTTTTATCTGAAGGATTCGTTACACACAGAGCCTTTTGTTATACCTGGGGACTCATTCTGCTCCCATCGAGGTTAATGGCAATGCAGACAGGATTGGGCCCCTTATATAGCCTTGTAAGATGATTTATTGCTGTTCGGGGTTTTGCTGGTGTTGTACAACATCGCTCTTACACTGATCCCTGCTAATTAGAAATGTGATATGCGATCTGTCCAAATGGAAATCTGGCTTATATGCAAAAGAGCTTTTTGGTTTTGACTCAAAGGAGGACACAAATTTATATGCCTGTCAGACACATGTAAAAAGAAATACGACGTATAGTAATTATCTGCAAATTATACATAATTTTTTATCTAGGACCTGAATCTAATTTGTCACATTTTATTTATACTGTATCATTATTTTACTGCAATTTGATATTTGATTTAAAGTTTTCTGCAACAGGGCTGGGAAAATATGTCCCAAAATTTCCACTGATATTCATTTGAGATTTTTAATGGATTTGATTCATCTTGTGCTTATCAACTGTTTTGTTCACTTTCCACAGATAAGCTGGAAAATGCAGTTAGTGGCAGGAATGTTTGCCAGATTGAAATGAATGTTATAAAATATTCCCCCAAAGCAACTTTCAGATTCATAGTTGCAAAGATTCACAAAGACCTGATTCTAAGAGTTGCACATTCCTCCAGTCATGGAACAGAAACATTCCAAAACGACTCAAATTACAAATATTGAACATTCACAACGAACGTCTTGCAAAAGAGCTGCACCCCAACAATTATTCACAGACACTGTTCAGCAACCAATGTTGAATAACAAATCAATGCCAGTGTTGTAAACATTTCTGTTTATGCTTGTTTGTATCTCTTTGCTCTTGGACTTTGGCATGTCACTTAGCAAAAACATACTTCACCCGTTAACACTAAACATCTTAACAGGATGTTTTTCTCCCAGCTTTCATTAGAAAACTAAGGATCTGATCAAACTAGATGGCAGACTTTCTGCTGACTTCCACAGGAGCTGGATCGGGCCATTAACAGAAAAATCTATGGGCCCAATCCAAGAAACTTTATCAAGGCTGTTAGTCTTCCTTAGTTAGGCACACAAACTCAATGGGACTGCTCACACAAGTAACAGTCACAAGATCAGGCCCTGAATTTGTCTGTAGGTGCTTTTCAGTTCAAATATAAAAGGATTCTATTAATAAGATACTGTGTTTGCCCTGACTGGTTTACATGTGTGTTTCAGTTAGCAGACTCCGATCCGAAATGTGAACCTGATGAACTGTAAGTACTCACTCTCCACATTCTCACTGGTTTTTATTTTGTGTTTGGAATTTTACAGGCAATGCAAAGTAAGGAAAACACAAAATAATCGAGATGCTCTGCACAAGAGTACCATGTTCATACCATTAATATAAAAAGGGATAGCAAGCATGCTAACAATGGCCGTTTGAGCTTAATTTTTCTTCCGAAAGAGAGAGATACAAAGGGGAGATACCCAGCTGGTTCTTATGATAATGTATAATTTTGTTGTTTTGTTAACATAGAAAGAACGATTGCGATGTACAATATATTTGAAGGAAAACAGATATACACATTTGCATTTAAACACATCCCATTAATTAAATGTTGTACTACTATAAATTTGTTAATGGTGCTGGTTCTTCCACCGCTCAACTTAAGGACGGCACTTCAACTGATTTCATGTCACTGGGCTCAGCGCTGTCCCAACATGTTGTCTGTTTCTTTAATTGCTAGATGTGTTAATTACAATGAGGAGAGCCTCAGTGCCTGGTATGTCTGGTAAGTACTGATCCATTCTAAAGACAGAATTGGCAAAAAAGTCTGTACTGATATATAGACAGGAAAGCTGAGTGAATAATTGACCAAACCAAGAAATTCAAAATAATTTAATTTGGGGTAGAACCAAAATTAAAATGTTTTTGGTTTTGCGAGGTTTGGGTTTTGTTTTGTTTTTATGTTTTTGGGTGTTTTCGCCCTTAAAAAAAACAAACAATTCTAGCTAAATTTCTAAATAAAACGCCGTTTTGAAACAAAAAGTTGCCAAGTTTCCTTTTGAATATGTGGAAATGTACTGTTTTGATTTTTTTCTAATTTTTTTCATTTTTTATTTGACTGGCTGTATTTGCCAAATTTGACCTGAAACTGCATTTTTCAGCAAATAAACTATTTGACTGAAAAATTTCACCTAGCTCTAATAGATATGGAGAGAGCAGTTGATAGCAAGGAACATTTCTCCTCACACTTCACCTGAATTTTCTGTGCTTAAACCCATTATTTTGTGTTCTGCCCTGACTGGATCATTTCTCCTTATCCCCTTCCCTGTTTGCGGACGGCAGAGCTGATCAGCTCAACATTTTTAATGGAAAAACGTCAACGTTCTTCATGAAAAGTGTTTTTGCAGAAATTCTGAATTTTCAGAAAAAGCCAGCCAGCTGGGAGGGCCTGATCCAAGGCACAAGAGCAACCGATGGGACTTTGGCCATTGGCTGCAACAGTCTGTGCAACTCTGGTCAAAAAACTGCCACCTCCCCTACCCCACCCTCCCCCCAAAAAAAAGTTTTGCCAAAAATGTTTTGAAGTTTTTTGTGCAAGAGAATTTCAATAATTAGATCAACTTTGCCCTTCTCCTAGTTAGCAGGTCTCTTCTCACTCCCCCCAAACCCGCCCTCCTGCCTCTCACTTCTGAAACCTTTGCAGTTGCCACCTGCTGTTGATTGTCCCATGTCTATGTCTCTGCCTCAGGTTACTGATCTTGTTCTTTCTGGCCATGATCCTGTCCTGTGGGATTCTCTTCTGCCTGCAGTGCTGGCTGAAACGACGGAGCAGCTTCCCCTCCCGGCGCAGGCTCGCCGTCTTTGCACTCAGTGACTCCGATTCTCTTGGTGGTTAGTTTCCATCTCGATCTTTGCGGGGCTTCTTGTCGCTAAACCTGCTCCGGTACGGTCCAACCCAAACTTAGTGGCAGGGCCATAGTTCACTGACTCGGTAGGTAAAGTGATGCTGCGTTCAATTCAGTGATCTGGCCTCCCACCCAGATGGGAATTACTGCCCTGGGCTTCCTTCCTGGAGAGCTGTCCATCTCCTGGGGCATTCAAAACAATCATTAGGCCTCATATTCATTGGAATGTTGTCACAATGGAACATAGGCACTGGGTTAATTGGGCCCAGCCCCTCCCACAACGCACCCAGGGCTGGTCTCTTAGAGTATCTCGGAGTATCTCCATTAGCTTCAATAGGCATTGGATCAGATCTTAAATGAGCGCCCCTCAGAAGAAACCCCAAGGATGTCCCATCAGACCGAGTGCGTGAGCCCTGATACTCCAAGAGGAAAGCCTGGTAGCTTTCTGGGTCGGGGGGGTAGGAGCAAACACTAGGCTCTCTGGGGAAATCACACCAAAGCAAACTCCTGACTCCTCTAGTGTTGGCAGATTGAATTCAGAGCTTCCCAGCCCACAATGTATAGTTGGCTGGTCCCAGAGCCCTGAGATGCAGCTGCTGCACGTACATGGCAGATTTCTCTTGTAATTTTCTTTCAAGTGACTGGAACCACATGATACTTCAATATCTCAAGCTAATATAGCTCTCACGTCATCATCATTGTCCCTTCTCCCCCACACCCACACCCACACCGTCACCTCGGTCCCCCATGTGTGGTTTCCCTCAAGGCTGGCGTATGGTTACCAAGAAAAGCTCCATTTTTCTCTTCCCAGTAAGTGAAGCTTCTCCATATGCCTTTTCCGGAGTGCACGCCCACTCTCCAAACTCAGAGCTGTGCCCTTCTCCCGTCCTGCGCGTCGGCACCAGGGGGACTGGATCGCCTCCTTCCTACGAGGATATTATGAAGGCAGGCAAATACTAGGGGCCTGATTCATACCTCCCCGTGTTACTCCAGATCTACACCAGTGTGAGAACAGAATCAGCCATGAGGCTGAAGAGGAGACAGAGGAAATATTTTATTTTTAAATTAAAAAGGGAAACAAAATGCAAATAGAATAATGCCCACTTTTCCGTTATGCTCCAAAGGACTACACTGCAGAGAGTAAGTTTTCACCTTCCCCGCAGGCTCAAGATCTGGATCTGAATTTCAGGCTCCTCCAAAGTTTAGGTCTGTCTGTACCCAGCATTTTTGGTTCAACCTGAACATTTAGCCTATTAAATACCCTAATTCCTCCCATGTGCTTACAGCTCACTGCCTCTCAGGAGCCAAGGCTAAGAAATGACTAGGCAGCAGCGTCTCAAGTTGGAAATTGATGGGTTTGCTTCAGTCATTTGGCACCAAGCCAGCATGGCACCACGCAGCGTTAGAGTTACACTGTTATACTGTGCAGTGTGATATGAATATGCCCCATGTAAGTGATAGACTGTTTGCCTCCCGTAAAATGCGTAGTACGGTTTAAAAGACACAGACAGTGCAAAATGCAGCAGCTTGAAAGGCGGCAGAGGGAAAGCATGACCCATGAACTGTTCAACCAGAACCAAAGTAAAACATTGCTTTGGTTATTTTCAGTTGACGTAAATACTCTTGATTTCCGTATTAATATTGTGACTGTCTCCACTTCAGTATCTGTCCGAACCAGAAAGGAATGACGCTCAGCACTGCAGCTCTGTGTGCCGGCCCAGCCCCAAAGGCCAGGAAGCCTCTGAGACCACTGCCTGCTTTCCCATTGCCACGTTCCAGGCCTGTTGACTTCCTAAACTCACCAGTGCTGAGATCCAAGATTCTGCTTTGGGCTTAGAAATAACAATAGTTTATAAGTAATCGAACACGGCGAACTCCATAGGTGGTTTGTAGTTTATTCTGCATAAAGCTGTATCGACTTATTATTTACTTGGTTCTAAATATGTTGCTGCTTTTCATTTCATTGAATGTCACCTTCTAGTCATATTACGGGAGATGCTAACAAGCAAAGAGGGTCCAGTTTTTCATTATACACCCTCATTTGAATACTTTATTCACAAGATTCAGTAATCCACGTTCATTTCACAGATTGTGACTCTTCTCTCCAACGTCCAGCAGAGGGCGATACAGACTATCAACAGTGATTAAGGGGCTTTTTGGTTACATCAAAATTGAGCTTCCCACACAGAACAGGTTACGGTTGCTGTGTTATTGCGGGGGGTTAAAATTTGATTTGTTTCACATTTTGGTGCTTTTGTTATTCAAAAAATAAAATGGGTTAATCCAATTGTGTTCAGAGGCATGCTTGATCTGCAGTAATAACCCCCACAATGCTATGGGATAAAGAAAATGAGACAAAGGGAATCTCATGATTGTGAGATGACATATGTGACCACAATACCTCCAGGCAGCCTGCTTTAACACTATGGGGGTGCCAGGGGCAGCTTGTGGGGGAAGGTCCATCCGCTAAAGGGCTCAATGAGAATGTTTGGGGTGAGAAGGCTTTGGGCCATGGTATCTTGCTGCCCTTGCCTGGCTCACTGATGTGAAATTCCCAGCCCACAAGAGCCAGATATGCTTGACACTGGTCTCTACTTCACTGGATTATCTACAGGGGGAAGGTCATCAGAGGCAAATACCCGATGGATACTGGTGACATCTGGGAAGTGAACCGGGAAACTTGCATTTTGCTCTGAGGCTGGGAGTTCCTTTCCCACATCTGCAGAAGAGCTCTGTGTTGCTCGAAACGTGTCTCTCTCGCTAACAGAAGTTGGTCCAATAAAAAAATATATATTCCCTCCCCCACCTTGCCTCTCTAAGGAAACTCAACGCAGTAACGTCGTTTTTGACACTCTACCCTGCCTGGTCTGGGTATATAACTTCTCATACGCACAGACACACATCTGCTCATACTGGCAACCTACAAACTTCAAGCCAGATCAGGATGCACTCCAGGACGAGCTCAATTCCCACCAGAGTATTGAAGCATGGGGAAAGTGGCCATTGTCACTCGCCATGCTGTACATGTACCGTGCAGAAATGGCAGACCTTCCTCTCCAGAGCTGTCAATCTATCCCCTTCCACCAGCATAACATTGCGGGAGGGCTGAGCATTTGTCCCCATGAAAAGTACACCAGGGCATGGATCCAAGAGGGTTTGAGCAGTAAGGAATTTCCCTCCTCATCGGTGAGCTTGGTGTGGAACAGCTACACCGCTTATGACCAGTGGTTTGTCGTAATAGCTGGAATCTCTACGTGCCCCACAAGAAGCAATGTGGGGTAATGGGTAAGGCACTGGGCTCAGAGCTAGCACACCTGGGGTCTATTCCTCACTCTGCCACAGCAATGACGTGTTACCTTGGTCATGTCACTGTCCTGTGCCTAAGTTTCCCCATCTGTAAAATGGGGATAATGACCGTTGCTTTCTTTTAAGAATGACTGTTACTCTTACTTACTTACATGGAGGCATTTAGGTTTGTGGATCCACCCAGTAGCAGCTCCACTGGTGCACTCCTTCGCTCAGGCCCAGGCCCCTCCGAGCTGTCCCAGAGCAGCATGGGTGGATGCGTTCCCTAGGTGGTCTCTCCAGAGAACAGTCGCTTTGCTTTGTGCCTTATGTTCCCATGCAGCACTCAGCCCCCCAGGAAGAGATTTCTTTTTGCCTGAGCTATGTTTCCAAGAGTTATCAGCTGAAAAATCCCTGTCTTTCTGATGTAATCGTGCTGAGAATGAATGATGGCACTCCATAACTGCCTTCCAACTAACATAACTGCCGCTGCACATTAACAATGCAATGAAATGGAAATCATGTGAAAAAAACGTGGAAGGCAATCAGGGGGTGAATATGTTGACTTTGGGATCCGCTGTCGCTAAGTCTTGATAGTGGATAAATAACGAACTGTAGAAGGATTAATTGCCTGGGGTCCAGTAGGCCGCAAATGAAGGAGTGTCATGAGGAAGGCTGCATAGTGAGGCTTTCACTTCATCACTCCAGTCAAGGATTGAATAATAAAGTCATAAATAAAGTAAATTGGATGGAAAAGCCACAATGGCCTTTTGGATCTAATGCAAAATGGAGCAAAATCGAATACAGACTGGACATGTTGGGGGGATGTTTCCAAAGAGAAAATAAGAACATAAGAACAGCCATACTGGGTCAGACCAAAGGTCCATCTAGCTCAGTGTCCTGTCTTCCGACATTGGCCAGTGCCAGGTGACCCAGAGGGAATGAACAGAACAGGTAATCATCAAGTGGTCCATCCCCTGTCGCCCATTCCCAGCTTCTGGCAAACAGAGGCTAGGGACACCATCCCTGCCCATCCTGGCTAATAGCCATTGATGGACCTATCCTCCATGAACTTAGCTAGTTCTTTTTTGAACCCCGTTATAGTCTTGGCCTTCACAACATCCTCTGGCAAGGAGTTCCACAGGTTGATTGTGTGTTGTGTGAAAAAATACTTCCTTTTGTTTGTTTTAAATCTGCTGCCTATTAATTTCATTTGGTGACCCCTAGTTCTTGTGTTATGAGAAGGAGTAAATAACAATTCCTTATTTACTTTCTCCACACCAGTCATGATTTTATAGACCTTTACCATATCCCCCCTTAGTTGTCTCTTTTCCAAGCTGAAGAGTCCCAGTCTGATTAATCTAAGCCCCAATCCTGCATCAGTGCCAGCAAGAGATGTTTTACTGCTGACTTCAAAGGGAGCGAGATTGTGGCAGTAGCTCCAGTAATGTCAGTGGAGCTGCATCAGGGAGTTTGGGGGTAGAATTTGGCCTCCTGGTTCTTCTATGGCAAGGGTTGCACAGCTTGCTCTTTCAGGTGAGAAGCACTGCACCCTGCTGCCCTTATTATTATCTTATTAATCTCTCCTCATCTAGCAGCTGTTCCATACCCCTAATCATTTTTGTTTCCCTTTTCTGAACCTTTTCCAATTCCAATATATCTTTTTTGAGATGAGGTGACCACATCTGCACGCAGTATTCAAGCTGTGAGCGTACCATGGATTTATCTAGAGGCAACATGATATTTTCTGTCCTATTAGCTATCCCTTTCTTAATGATTCCCAACATTCTGTTCGCTTTTTTGACTGCCGCTGCACATTGAGTGGATGTTTTCAGAGAACTATCCACAATGACTCCAAGATCTCTTTCTTGAGTGGTAACAGCTAATTTAGACCCCATCATTTTATATGTATAGTTGGGATTATGTTTTCCAATGTGCATTACTTGGCATTTACTTTGCAAATCAATCAAGAATGACAAGCAACATGTAAAAAAACCAGGAAATAACAGAAATGCTCATTGATCTGTTTTCCAGCTCAATCCGAAGACTCGGTATTATAGTCTATAACGATTTGTTTGATGGTGTCTTTTGGGTAGAGGGAGAGGATGGGGAATCCATTTTGCAGGACAGACGTAGGTGGCTGTTCTTCTCTGGGCCATTAGATGTCAGGATTTCCAGCTTTTTCGCAACATGAACTGAAGACGCTAATCCAAGTACTGTACAGGCTCAACCTTGTAAGTGCGTATCGGCTACCCTTGGAAAAGTGCCCTCAGCTCCCATAGACAGTGCTGAGCACCGTAGGATCTAGCCCTACGGGAGGTCTGTTGAGCTGCAAGCTGCAAAGAAGCCAAGACATGTTTTTCTTTGGTTCCTTTCTGTCGAAACTAAGGCCGTGATTCTGCCGTGAGCCCCCTGCTACCAGATACTTGTACCACCCAAAGAGAGCTCCATTGAAGTCAGCTGGCTCCACACAGCACAGGGGCTCAAGTATCTCTTAATAGTGCTTTGAATCTATAAAAGGGCGGTGTTGTCTATTGATGTGCACATAAAACTGAGAGCCAGGAGCACCCGGGATCTATCTTCAGTTCTGACACTGGTTTTTTCTGTAGCCTTGGACTAGTCACTTAACCCACCTGCCTCAGCTTTCCCCTCTGTAAAATGGGGACAATAGAACTCACCTGCCAGTTAAGGTTGAATTTCCTAATACGTGTGAAGCTTTGAAGACAAAATCACTCCCAGTGCTAAGCGGTATTATTGATTATTATATATTTGTTCACTATTATTAAATGCTGTCAACATCTGCAGGAAGAACTCAATATCCTGGCGATCTTAACAGGTAAAAAGCCTTTTGGTTTCCCCTTTAAAGAAGTGGGGCACCCCAGGCCTGTTGTTTAGTCATTGTGTTATACAAACTAATCTCATTTATACTTCTGCACATTCTTGGGACTCATCGATGCAGAAAGCAGCCTGTATGGATGCTCTTTCGGTATGAGTTTTCTTTTCAGAAGCATTTGCCATTTGGAAACAATAAGAACAGGTTAAAAAACATGGATGCATCTAAAGCTCCCAGCAAAGGCTCCTAGATCTTGAAAAGCAAGTGACGGCGATATGCAGTGGGATCCAGTGTTAGCGATCAGAGATCCAATCTCTTCCTAAAGCCTCTGCCTATTTCTGCTGCTGCCTTTTGCCCCTCATTTCCAGGAGGGACGTCATCTACATCACACAGATCACGATCTAGCTGGACCATCCCCTGAGCACCTCTCCTCCCCTCCCACCACCATGGGAGAATCGATTCCTGCAGGATTGGAAAGTACATGCATTTCGCAGCGTGCGTTTTATTACAGTTCTAAAATGTTTAAGTACAACTGTGCTCTCTGGATCCACATCCTCATTCTAATAAAATCACCAGAGCCCGGTGCAAATAACTCATGAAAACAGGGGGAGAGGGAAACGCTATATTTAAAAATATATACATACCTCTGCATCAACAAATGGTTTAATCGTAAGATGTCACAACAAAGTATATGATTTACATGGTTAACTGAGGCTGAGGAAAGTAACAAGAGGGTGAAATATTGCAGACTAACATGGGTAATACAGATTGAATTGTTTTATTATAAGACCATTTTACTGGGTGTGCTGCAATCGGAAATCAGTATCTATTTACAGGGAAGGAAATAAACTAATCAAAGAGGTTATTTACAAACAATGTATATTTTTCCATAAAGCACCTGCATTTATACACCTCAAGGACACTCATCATGTCCCTTGAATCCAAGAGAGCCATTCCAATAGTAACTGGAAGTGCCTAGCACCTTGTCTAGATGGGGATAAAAATGCATTGCTACCACAATAGCTAACATATGCCAGCTAATGTGTTCTAAAACTCGTCTAGACAAGGAGTGTAGACTTAACACATGCTAAACTGGGTGCGTTAAACTTGACACTCCCACCCACGGTCTGCGGCTACCAGCAAACGTGTTGAAAATTGCCCTGTCTACACTGGGGTTTTAACTTGTGTTAGCTAATTTGTCAAAAACATGATTTTTTTTCCTAATGAGGAAAAGGCCTACATTCTAGCCTACCTAAGATCTACATAAGGGCTGCAGATTTCATGCCCAGTAAAATAGCTCTGAATTGGATAAGAAAGTGTTTTGATTTAAAGGGGGTTCAGGTCAAAGGGATTTTACAGTCAGTTATATCAGCTCCTAGTTAATCCATTCATCATGAGACAAGGCCAGTTCTGCATCCTCACCCAATTTGTCCTTGTCTGACTCGGGAAGGGAATGGTTAAGTACTGAATTAGGATTTCCAGAGCTGGGCAATAGAGAATCCCAAATGGACTGATCAGCTACTCAACATTTGGTGAAGAGGTTTGCATTTTGCAGGGCAGAATGCATCTGAGCGTACGGCGTTTTCTCCAGCTGGTGATTTGGGGGCGAGCCTAAGGCACAGACAGCAGGGGAGGGTGCAGGTTAGGACAGCCCGTTCCCATCTGTACTGATCTGTTGTTGCTCTCAAGGAGAGGACACGCCTACGTCCTGACTTCATGGATTCCAGATGTTGACCTGGCGGCCCAGCCGTCTCTCAGCAGAGGTCCATATGTGTGGTCCCCCTGGTCTGACTGTCAGCACCTTATCACACCCGGATTAGCTCTGTGATTTCCCACCCACTCTTATTGTTTTGGTTTCTTTATACAACATGTAGGTGCCCACTCCTGCAAAGAGCTGATTTCTTCCAACTCACAGTGAAGTCAATGGGCCAAATTCTGACTGAGGCTGAACAGCAAGATGAATGGAATTCAGCTGGTGTTTAGCACCTCTCAGAATGCAACCCAGTGGGAGCCCTGCCTTCCTGACCCTTCCTGGCCGCTGCTTTCTTGCTTTGTTGCTGAAGATGATGATTTTATTTCAAGCCCCCGATATAGGCCATTCTACACGTATCTGTGAGGCGCGACTTAGCATCCCGCTCACAAACGCTGGAGGCAAGGCGTCTGGATAAGCAGTTCAAAATAAAAGCAGAGCTCTAGTCTCCTCATTTCCTGTTCCTCACACTCTGGTGTCCATTGCGTACATTTTGGCAGTCGCTGTCTGAGACGATGGATAGTAGGTGTTTGCCACAGTCGTTCCAGCTGGGGAATACATCTTCCTCAAGGAATTAGGGGAATAGAACCTCCCAGAGCCAACATCTGTGTTGCAAAAGGAAAGAAAGAGGGAAATCTGATTAGCAATGACCCAGCCATTTCCATCAGCAAAGTGTCCTCCGAATACAGGGCGATGAGGGTTCCAATTTGTTAATAAGGTAAATAATAACATTGCACTTTACACTTAGCCCTCATCTTCCATCTGAGGAGCTCAAAGCCCTTCACAAAGATGAGTAAAGTATTACTATGCCCATTTTACAGGCAAAACACTGCTGCACACTTAACCATCACCCATGATGATGCTGGATAGGAGATGAAGCTTTTTATATAGGCTCTGTGATATTGGGGACTGGGCGTTTAGGGACTGAGCTTCCCAGACAGAGCACCTGGGCAGGGTGCTGGGAAGCTCTTGTTGTTTGGCGCAGCCAGTTGGACGGAACCAGACACAGAACACAGCAGATCTCCTGCGAGCACATGAAGTACTGAGTGAGCTCTGAACGCCACATTCTCCAATGCAGTCAGATCAGGAGTGATCCTAAGGTAATAGCCTCTGACAGGCCGCTGGAGAGCTATAGGAAATGTGTGAAGAATCTTGGTCCTGTTCTAAGCGGCTTAGGATCCACAGCCCAGCAGTCAGACCCACACTGGTATTCTCAGCAGTGAATTCAAGGGTCTAATGGACACACAGACTTGAGCTCTCCTCTCTGCCCCAGAGATGCCCCCTAAGCAACGTTCTATCGCTCTGGGCTCCCACGAGATTATTAACCTTGTCTTGACTGTGTTTAGTTGATGCCGTTGGGTCTTACCTCGGAAGAGATACATGCAGCAGGTGAGCACAGCCCCAGATAAGAAGCAGCCCAGGGACCCAGCCATTCCGAGCCAACAAGACCAGCCAAACTTATACTGGATGCCCAGAAACACATTGTGCAAAACCAGGGAGGAGCGCTCCACGTACACCCCGAGGGCGTACCAGACTGAGCCAATAAGGCCCGGGAAGCCTGCAGGGCAGGAGAGAAGAGCACCGGAGAGATCTGTCAGACAGGTCACGGTGATTACCGGGACTATACGATTCCCAGAGTATACTCTGGCATCTCCTAACCCTCCCGTTAGCTCCTGCTGACTTCATCTGGCGGGTCCCATGTGTACTCAAGGGCAGTTTATACTCGATGGGTTTGCTTGCTCCAACGTGTGATGGACACTCTAGCTGGTTGACATCTTTCAAATTTTGAAACCTCTACTTAAAAGTGTGGTGGGAGGGAGGGGGGATTATATATCTATGCAATTCCCCCCTGCCCCACCATCCCTTGTTTATCAACTTGTAGCTCATCAGGAGTTTTTGAATGTCAATGTTTTTCAGGCATATTTTGAATTTGGATACACATCCGGAGGAAATTGCCAACAAAATGTTCACAAAGTGCTTTTCGATTAGCTCTAATATGCACCGGGCCATATAGAAGCGGATCTCTGAGCACGTTATAAGCACGTGTATTCATAAGCCTCCCAGTAATTGGCATTAGAGTCTTTATATCTGTGAGGGAAGTGAAATTGGGAGAGCTTTTTTAATATTGGTGCAAATCCAAATAAATAAAGTTACTTTGTCCATAGTTAGCCAATGCTATAACTTGGCACCTATTTATCCTAGTTACTTCTCTGGCCCCCATCACGCTAGTGTCTAAGAATCTCACACTCTAATGTTGTTAGCCTTAGAATACCCCGGTTGTGAGGCTAAGGCAGGGCAGTGCTCTTATCCCCATTTTACAGATGGGAAACTGAGGCACAGAGAGGCTAAGTAACTTGCCAGGGTCACAAAGGAAGTCAGTGGTATAGTAGAAAATTGAATTTGATTCTCTGGCTAGCAGCCTAACCATTGGACCATGCTTCCTCTCACAGAGCGTGTGTCTCAGCCCACTAAACTACTCACACTCCTTTGCACTAATTATTTATTTTTAATCGGGCCATCCATGATCATGTGACCATACTGAACAAATACCTGCTATGAGCAACGTAACTCCAGACACGAGACAGATGCGCAGCTTGATGGTGGGCTCGTCCGTGAGGAATTTGACACAGTCAAGTCCCAGGAGCAGGAAAGCGAATCCAAACCCCGCCAGGATGTCTGCTGTGATCATCATGGCTCTGGTCAGCACCAGCTTCACTGCAGGACAGGGTAGGGGATTGTGGTGCAGCAAGGAGATACAGCCAGGATCCTAAAAGCTAAAGAACTAGGAGCAGGTCTACACTACCGTGAGTCGAGGTAACTTACGGCACTCAGGGGTGTGAAAAAGACACCCCCCCAAGTGACACAAGTGACAGCGACCTAAGCGCTGTCCACACCGGTGACATAGCTTCCGCCTCTCGCAGAAGTGGAGTAATTACGCTGACGGGAGAGCGCGCTCCCATCGTCACAGAGCGTCTTCACCAGACATGCCCATTGAAATCAAAGCACCCAGGGTAGCAGAATCTCTCTAGAAAGGGGTATTGCATGAAACCTTAGGCCTGGTGATCAGCTGACATCTGCCACTTCCCAGCCACATTTAATCCCCAAAAGAGAGTGGCTGCTATGCAGCGCTCTAAAATGATTAAGTCCCCCACATAAAAATCATAGATTAGAAGATCAGGGTTGGAAGGGACCTCAGGAGGTATCTAGTCCAATCCCCAGACAGATTTTTGCTTCAGATTCCTAAGTGGCCCCCTCAAGGAGTGAGCTCACAACCCTGAGTTTAACAAGCCAATGCTCAAACCACTGAGCTATCCTCCCCCCCAAATCTTTTGGATAGCATCACAGTGTTAGGCCCCACCATTGATGTCACACCTGGATGACGGTAGTTGACAGGCCCGTAGTTGATGCTAGTTATCCGTAGTCTTGTTTGTATACTGGACATTAATAAAGAAGGCTTCTTCCCCCAACTGGTGACACATCCTCAATTAATCCCACTGCACTATGGCTAATCTAACCATAGATACTTCAAGGGTAAGAATGACTGGAAGATGAAGAGATACTACTGCACCGGTGACTCATGTAGGCCATGCAATATTCAAGTGCAGATGATGAAGGACATACCAATAAGGAACAACTTTACACTGCCCTGGGCATGGACAAGAAGATATAATTACTATCAATAGCTGCTTCTAGAAGTGTATTTGGGTCCAGGGATTTGGTTTGGGCTCATCCGTAATTTTAAGGGGATATTACCTTGAGGATTTATTACAGTGTGCACGGGTGGGTGGTAGTATCTAGATCAGTGTACGGTGTCATCATCCTATCTTGGCCAAAGAGAAATTCAAACAGAAGAGAACGTCTGGCTGCCTATTCTCTAGGGCTCATTGAAATGTTTCAAAATAAATTTGGTGGTTTTTTTAGTTTGTTTTATTCAAACTTTTTTGTGATTTTTTTTCAATAACAAAACTTTCAAAATTAAAAAGGAAATAATACAAAAAATTCCAAAAATGTAATTTTGTTTTGGTGGGTAAATTCCCAATTCTGTCCCTTTTTTCCCCACAGGGAAGTGAAAAGGTGAGAGAATTTAGGATTTTACCCACAAAACCAAATGAAATATTTTGCAAACATAATCAATTTTCTTCATACTTCCAGGGTTGAATTTATCCACGTGCTTTGGGATTCAAAGTTGCTGTGAGGGATCTTTTCTCAAAGGCTTGAGGTTTCATTTCAAAACCAGAATGAAACAGAGATGGATTGAAAGGAGAAACCTCAGTTGTGCTTAATCTGTGTTATATAGGGAGGAATTACAAAGCCTTGGCAACCCAGGAAAGGCCCTGAATGATCTTTTCTATGGGTGGAAGTTGATATCTGCTGATTTTCTTCAATCACAAATATGTACTGGACATTCCTTGAGAAATGAACCATGGTCCGAAGATTTTGGTGCATCAATTTACCTTTGAACTGAATTAACTAAGATGAACTCTGGGTATTTCTGACTCCACATTCTATGTTCTGGGTCTCTGAGTGGCTTTCTGGCACGTCTTTCAATTCAGTCATCAACTACAAGCTCCTTTTCATTGACACGTTCGTTTTCAAAGACTCTTCTGCATCCCTTCCGAGCAACGGAGAAGCGGCGTGAGCCCGCGGGTGTCATGAGCCTTGCTAATGGCCCAGACTGAACACCATAGCCCACTGAAAGCAACAAACAGACTCCCACTGACTTCAGTAGCCTTGCGATCAGGCCTTATTGTTTAAGGCCCTTGTACAATAGGATTCAAGCATGTGCTTAAGAGTTTTGCTGAATCAGGGCCCCAGCTGTCTAAGCTGACCCAGGGGTTGGGAACAGCCAGATTCTTGACTCGGCAGGTCGTGGAGATGAGCTGATGAGCTCAATCCTGGGTTCTAGGAATATCTCCTTCGGCCTATTTGTAGATCAGTGCCACAGGGGCCCTATGTCAGCAGAGCATGTAAGCATGTGCCGAGATCAGTCGCGGTTCAGCAATACTGAAGACCATGGGACGTGCCTAAGTGCTTTCCTGTACAGGGCTGTTGTGCTGAGCCTTGGCCGGGGAGAAGAGGACTGGACTAGGTGACCTCTCGAGGTCCCTTCCAGTCCTATGATCCTATGATTCTAAGAGGCTCACTTGTCTGCCCACTGGCTAGCGGGGCAGCCCAGCAATAGCAGCAGCTGAGACCAGAGAATGTAGAAGGGAAACAAATGGCCCCCTAAAGATGAACTGGGGAAGGCTAGCAATCCATCCAGTGGATGGGAGCAGGCACCGTGGGCAGGTCTTTGCTGAGGCTTTTTTATTGGGATGTGGAGGCAGCCAGAAACCTGGGAGAGGGCGTCATCTTGTCCTGAGCACCCCAGCCAGCTGTGCATGTCATGGAGGTTCTGCTGACAGGCCGAGAAGGTGAAGTTGACCCCCTGCAGATGGCCAGCACCAGGCGCACGCACGGCCCGTGCCCCACCTAAGGGTCTGTCTTCACTGCCGAGTGGATAACTGGAGTCACTCCTCTCCCGTTACCTTAGCAAAAGTGAGAGCAGCCACACTGTGAAATCCTGCTTGAGTTGCTTGTGTCCGCACTGGAGCTGGCTCAAAGGTTTCTGGGGCCGTATCCCATGGTTCTGCCATAAGCTGAGCCACGCTACGAATTCTTTCCCAGTGAATTGTGGCAGAACTTGTCTGTCCTTTTGGGGCACACATGGGTATTGTGGGAAGGCCTGGGAGGACTAGCAGCATTTGAGTGGGACAAGCCTGCTTCACACTACTGAGCAGTTGTGTTAGTGGCTGATGAGTTGTGCTCACTCAAATGTGGGCTAGCCCCCCCGATGGGCCAACTGGCTTGAGTTAAAAGCACCATCACACTTGAGTTAAGGATTCTTGTGTGTGGACAGGACTGGAGTTCATAGAATATCAGGGTTGGAAGGGACCTCAAGAGGTCATCTAGTCCAACCTCCTGTTTGAAGCAGGCCCAATCCCTAGACAGTTTCCCCCCGATCCCTAAATGGCCCCCCTCAAGTATTGAGTTTACAACCCTGGGTTTAGCAGGCCAATGCTCAAACCACTGAGCTATCCCTCCCCTCATAGGGACAGCCCTGGAGTTATAACTCATTCACTTTGCAGTGAAGACAAGCCCTAAGCCCTTCAGGTTTCTAAGAGTATCAAATCAGCTTTACATCTTGCAATATGATAAAAATCTCCTGTGGCGCCTACCATACAAAATCTGTCCTTGGAAAGGGGAATGTTTGAAGCTCCTTCACCAGAGGTTTTCTAAAGGAGGCTGGATAGCCATCTGTAACAAATGCTGCATCTTGGCAGGGGGTTAGACTAGATCGGGGTTCTCAAACATTTTTTGCTGGGATCCCCTTTGAAAATATTTCAGGCTTTGACAATCTCCACTCCCACAAAAAGTGACGAGCCCCCGCATACCATGCCTTACTTCTGCACTGCTACTGGGGGCAGTGCTGCCTTCAGAGCTGGGGCCTGGCCAGCAACCGCTGCTCTCCAGCCACCCAGCTCTGAAGGGCTCGGGCTGACAGCACGAACCCCCTGCATGCATTAGGGGCTGATAGCTCGCAAACCCCCTCCTTAATAAGCTTGCGACCCCCAGTTTGAGAACCCCTGGATTAGATGACCCTTGTGAACCCTTCTAACCCTATGGTTCTATGATTCTATGTTCTCTACCTGCACAGTTTGTGATTGAAATCTGAAGCATACGTACAGGGGTGCTCGGCAAATATAGAGTCATACTCGTCACAGGTTTGAATCCCATCGAACACGTTGGTGACGCATTCCCACCACAGGCCACGGCACTTTGTGCTCACCTAGAAGTAAAAAAGCAGCGGGTGAGCACACCCAAATGCAACAGCAAGAGCCAGAGGAGGGAGTGCAAGGGACATTTTAGCCCAGCGAAGTCAATGACAAAACTCCCATTGACTTCCACAGGGGCTGGTCTTCATTGCTCAAGCGAAAGTGTTCAGTGTACTGAGACCACTACCTATCATGCTGACCCGTATTGCCTCATCGTTTTCTTGTGCTCCCCTGTCTGCAGCCCCCTGTTGTCTCTTCTCTTACGCTTAGATTGTAAGATCTTTGGGGCAGGGACTGTTTGTACAGCACCTAGCACAATGGGGTCCTGGTCTGGGCCTGGGACGCCTAGGCCCTACAGCAATACAAATAGTTAATGACAATAAGAGTTTTGCCATTTCCAGAATCAGGCCCCAGGCTGGTGGTTACCAACATGCCTGGCACTCAGGTCACTCGGAACTGAAAAGTCACTGTATCACTTGGTTCTGAGGGAACATTGTTTTAAATTAAGACGATTCTGCCCCGTATAATTTTACCTCTAGCCACCAGGAATTTGGTAGGGGAAAAAATCCCATGGCTTATGCTTTGGGGTTTCCTGTTTCAAAGTGAACTTAGTGGGAGTGACAGCTGCTGAACTGACATCCCCAGGGACTAAGGTCCTCTCCTGAGTGTGTGGACAAGGTGGCCAACAGCCATGACGGCTCCCCCCAGGCTGCCTTTTTGCCCCGGGACCATAACTCGGGTTGAGGTCATTCACCATTCATGCCCCCTCGCCCAGATTCCCAGCCCCCTGAGCCTTCCCACCCAAACCCCCAGAAGTCAATCTAACACGGAAGATATTTTTGTTAGCACTGTAAATATGCCAACGGGAATTAAGCACCTCTTGCGTATTCTTGGCATTGCTCGTACGTATAGCAGGGAGCAGGGCTAACGTGTGTGCTACCTTGGACTCAAGTCTGCATTACGGCTGCCAGAGAAATCCCAGCCTAGTTTAACAAAAGAGTAACCCCTGTAGGAAAGAGGAACAGTACCTCTTGTTTGGATGATGAGACAAATCTACTTTTTTGGATGGCAGAACGCACCAAATATCAGCCTTAAATGTAGTCAGATAATAACAGGTACCAACCCAGTTAATAGGACATGTTACACAACTTGTAATCTCTTGAGCTAGGGGAAATGATACCACACTATCCTGAAAGAGAATACTCTGTACATCTATGACTGGGTATATAAGCAATCCCTCTTGGCGTAAGACAATACCTTACTAGTTTTCGTTACTATTACACACTGGACTGACCGTTTAAATGTTGGTTCTGTCAGTTCAGCCAGTCCTTTCCCTCTAACATATTAGCTAAGCCATGGCTACCCTGCGAAGGGGTATACTGATACTCAAGCGCAATGCTTTACACTTAGACACACTCCATTTCCTATTCCACCTAGTGTCAGAGCGTCAGAGAGCTTAAGGCCAGAAGGGACCATTAGGTCATAGGCCAATAACTTGTGTTAGACTAAAGCATTTCAGTCCTCAGGATGTTAACCTGTTGTGTGCCACAGGCAGAGAACAACAGAGACCGAGGCTGCCACTCAGCCAACTCCTCCTGAGAACAGCTAGCGCCTACAGTCAGACACCGCCCCCACTCACCCCCAAGTTTAGTGTCGCCTTCAAAATGAAGGATTTCAGATAGATCTATACTCCAAATCTAGAGCTCTGCAGGGCTTCAGGACTCACCAGCTTCCATGGAGTATCTACGCCTCTATGTGCAAAACTCTACCCTGGGCCTGAAATCTGAACCGAGCCCTTTGCTAACCCAAGAGAGCTCAGTCAAAGTTTTGTGTGTCTTGGTGTGTTTTGACGGTTGCCCCCCAATCCTGGCCCTGAATTCATTCAGACAGCAATGGCAAGGCCAAAACACCATGGGAGAGGCTCCTGTCTTCCCGCATTCTTCCAGGGTGACTCTTACCTCTGCACTGCCTTCCCTGTCTGTACCTGTACGGCCACTCCCCACCCCTCAGTCAGAGCTCGTCCCCAGATCCACCTCTGCTGCAGAGCCAGTACGGAATGAGCCATCTCACCCTGGCTCAGTTGAGGAGCGCATGGGGCTAATTGGTGCGCTATTGTAACGGGCCTGTTTCATCCTTGGGCTACACCAGTTGTGTGCTGGGGTAACTCTGTTAACCTCCTTCACTATGTTGTTCTCCCCCGTCCTCTCCTGTGTCGTTGGTCTTTTCAGCTTGTTAGTTAGGTTGTATTTCTCTAGGTACTGACACGGCTGTTGTCACAACAGTCCCTGAGCGCCGCCCTGAATAATAAAGAGAATGGCAAGCAAACGGCTCTGTCTGCAGGGCAAAGGCTGTGTTCACCTTATATGTTTGCACCATGCCTAGCAGAATGGGGCCCTGGTTCTGTGCCGACAACTCCACTCCTCTGGCACAATGGAAATTTCTCCCGTCAGAATAAAGCTCATCTGGGCACCAAGTCAGAGCTTCCTTGGGAGCTGTGCCAAGACTGTGGATCTAAAACTCTCCACCTTCAGCTACCCCTGTCAGGTGCATTTCTGACATGTCTTCTGTAACATAAACATAGAGCAATGCGTGTCTCTAGCTCTAGAGAGCATTTTAAAAATGACAACACAAACCACTGCCCTACACACACTTTCCCGCCTAAGGAGAGGATGAGAGACCCAAACACATGACAGATGTCATGGAATGCATGGTTGGAAGGCTCTCAGATACTAAGGTGATGAATATGGTAGAAGAACTGTTAGAGAATACAATAAAAATGTTAATAATAACTTCTAACCTGGCTGAAACCAGAGAGGGATGACGTCCCCCAAGAGAGCTTTTTCTGAAGCAGTTTCCAGGCCCGGGAGAGTTCGGAGACCTGTTCAAACTTATCCCAAGTGAACTGAGCCTCTAGCCCAGAAGCTCCCAAATGTCATTGGTTCGTGGTCCACTTTCTTAACAGATGGTTGTGAAGTGAATGGAGGGAATATCAAGCTGATGTTCCCCCAGTGGTACGTGCACTCAGTTTGGGCACCCCTGCTCTAGGGTATTGTTATCCCAACCCAGCAGCGTGCGTAGTGATGCTCACACTGAAGGAAACCTAACTCCGGCTCAAACTAACAGCCCCGAATAAAAAGTGCTCAGGGATTCTTACTGGAAACGCAGCTCCTCTCCCTGCAAACCGAAAGCTGATTGAACAATTCTTTGTCGCCTGCTGAAACCAGGAGCAATGTCAATTTCTGAGCGCCCAGGTAATTGATCATTTACCTGCATGCCCATATTTAGAGAGGCAATGAGCTCATTAGGGGAATTCAGAGGCTCGTTCTATCAGGTATTAACGCTGGGGGCACTTTGCTGCGTGGTTTGATATTCACGCTCAGGGCAGGTACGTGAGAATAGTGGCTACCATTAACCCAACTCCGCGTTAATGGAGCACTTAGGTGAAACCCGGTCGGAGGGTGAAGGCAAGGTTAAAAAGCCTTTTGTTCATGGGCTGGAACCTTTATATGAATTGTTTTATTCAGAATGAATTCAGGTCTATGAAAAATGAACAGCGAGGCACAGTATAGTTATGATGCAGTCAATATGTTTAGGTGCTTTACTGTCAACAGCTAGATTCTGGTGTCTCCCTGTTGTCTTTTAAACTCGTCATATTCAAGCCATCTGCTGCTAGAGGCAAGGAGAGAAAAAGCTTCCAATGACTTCGGATTTCTCACCTCTGCCTGCAATACATTTAAAAAAGAGCTAAAAGGGTAGACTGAAAATCCAGGGCCAGCTTTGGTATAGGTGGATGACGTCCATTTACACTTGCTGGGGATCAGTCCTTAAACGTATCTGAGCTTAATACTTCGACATGCTGAACATTATCGTTTTGTTTCTTTCTACAGGATAGATCTCTGAGCACCAATCGCCATAGTACCTAGGCCTTGAGACTATTAGGGTTTGTCTTGTTAGGGGAAAACCGTCTTTCCCTTTCACTGTTCTGGGTGGGCCCTAACACCATGGTTATTGCTGTGGCATCTGAAAGCCAGATTCTGATCTCTGCGCCAGTGGTGCCCAGCCAGCATTACCCCTCTGATTCCATACATTAGCAAGTAGGTGGTAGATAGAAAGTCTGTCTGTAAGGCTGCCCGGGAGTGAATTTCACCCTGATTGTGCAAAGCGCAGACTTTTCTAGAGAACATGTGTTTTAAAAACTGCAGCCCTTCAGCAGGGTTTGACCATTCTGGGGGTTTCAAACGCAACAATAGTAGAACTGTGTGGTGCTGTGTACTTGTGAAAGTGGTGAGTGTTTGGGGGCCAGGGGACTGCTTGGGACTGCATGGTGGGACGCAGGGAGGTCAGTCTGCTGCCTCGATACTCGCGATTTACTTTTGTTGCCCTTTTTCTAGACTGCTAATCTGTGTAAATGTCAACGGGGAGATTACTGAGGCTCAGAACTAAAAGCCAATCTCTGCATTCCCCCTGAAGTTCTGCTAGCCCCATAGGTGCGTCTCATCAGAAAGCCACTCAATTACAGACCTAAAAGTCGCAATTCTTCAACAACAAAAACTTCAAAAACAGACTCCAACGAGAAACTGCAGAACTGGAATTAATTTGCAAACTGGACACCATTAAATTAGGCTTGAATAAAGACTGGGGGTGGATGGGTCACGGCTACCACTCTGAAACCTATTTCCCCATGCTAATTTTCCCCCTACTGTTACTCACACCTTCTTGTCAACTGTTTGAAACGGGCCATCCTGATTATCACTACAAACGTTTTTTTTCTCCTGCTGACAATAACCCACCTTAATTGATTTGCCTCGTTAGAGTTGGTATGGCAACCCCCGTCTTTTCATGTTCTCTGTATATATATATCTTCCTACTGTATTTTCTACTCCATGCATCTGATGAAGTGGGTTTTAGCCCACGAAAGCTTATGCCCAAATAAATTTGTTGGTCTCTAAGGTGCTACAAGTAGTCCTCGTTTTTTATGCAGATCAGAGGTACACACTTTGGCTTCTTTATTCTACAGAATCTGATCTATAGAATTCACAAAGCAAGGAGAAGACGACCAATCCAGGCTATCCATGTGGCCTGGAAATGTAGGACCAAATTGTGCTCTCTTACATTGGTGCAAATCCAGAGTAATGCTGTTAAAGCCAATGGGGATATTCTGCATTTACACCGCTGACGCTGAGAACAGATTCTGGGCTGTGAAGTTTGTCGCAGTAAGCAATTTGCTAGAGCAAATACCACTCTCCAAAGTCATTAGCTGCTTTTCACCCAAGAGAATAGGGGGAAAGTATGAGAGACAGCGGAACAATGATGCTAGCGGGAGCTACCAGGGACCTAATGCCTACGCTCTCTCCATTTTCTTGGCAGGCTCAGTCTGTAGGATTCCTGAACAACTGGGCAGCTTGTTTTCTTACAGACGGGGAAACAGAAAAATCAGACTGCCGTGGCACTTGGCAGCCTTTCCTGGAGAAATCCATTCCATTCCATTTACCACTGGCTCATTAAACTATCTCCAGCCTTTCGCTATAGATGGAGGTTCCCTATATCAATGTTGCCTCTGAGCGGGTTGTACCATATCCCCATCACCCCAGCGGGTGTTTTAGCCTCCCAAAGGCTGGTCTGCTGGGCTCTCATGACATGGCTTTTTGTTGCCTGTCCCCAAGAAGCATGACTGTCCCCTTTGGTTTCCAAAGGAACGTTCCCATTGCAGTGCGTGGGTCACCCTCATCTCGACCTTACCTCCAGGGAGTCGTCAGCGTTCACCATCCAGCAGTCTGTCCAGGTGGCTGCTATCAAAAACCCAGCAGAGAAGAAGGCGAAGAAACACGCGACATATTGGAGAAGATACCTCATCCCAACGAGCGTTCAGCACGTCCAGGGCATAAAGAACACCACCTCCCAGGGAGCCTCCGGGCCTCAGTTCACTGCTCCTGTCTTTCAACGGCCATCAAGCGAGTGAAGTTCCCTTTTCTTTTACAATCACTAATGCTCAACTGTACAAAACTTAATGTTGCTGTGAGAACAATACACACCGGCTGCAACCGAAGGAGGAGGGTCTGAGAGGTCATCCGAAGCAACCGAGCCCTTGCAGCCAATCAGATTTGTTCAGGTAAAACTCGCTATGGCTGGGAAAAAGCAACTCAAGTTATGCAGAAAGTGCACGCAGGCAATTAAAGAGTCCAAAACTTCCTTGGAATGATGGTCAGGGTTGGTACAATTTGCAGCTTGTCTATGAGCTAGGGAAGTGGTAGAAGAGGAATCAAAATGTAAGCTTCAGGATAGAAGTTTTTTTAATTCCCAGAGATCAGGGAGGAATTTGCCCCCCCCCCCCGTCCGTGCCAGAGCACTAGGCAATTGATAGGGGTGCACTTACAAAACAGACTAGGTTTTACCTTCCTTTGAATCATCAGGTACCCCTGGGTCTCTGCTGGAGGCAGGATGTCAGACTAGATGCACTGGTGATCTGATTCAGTATGGAAATCTGTTACCTTTAAAAGGAAAGAAATATTGAAGAGACAAAGGCCCAGACACCCCAACATGGACACACACCCCTCCCGCCCCCTCCCCGTGAACAGACCACCCCTCCCTGGGTGAACTCAGATCTGGAGCTGGGCATTGCAAATGAGTCAAATCAAAATGTGGGCTCCAAGTTCAGTGGGCTCTAGGTTGGTCACAATCTGAACTCAGACCCATGTGATGGAAGGGCTAAATTCTTCTAAAAGCTTTTTTTGTCTGCTCATCGTCTTCATTCGAAATTCAGGCCCTATCTACCCTGTTTTACCTGAAGGATGCTATAGATGAATAGACAGCTGGTACGATCTGGATAGGAGGGAGAGCGTGTCATTAAACCTGAGTCTTTGAGAAAGGAAGTGATTTGTATTCAGACTATTAAAAATTATTTGCCTTTTATTTAAGGCTTGTCTACATGGTGGCGCAGTCCAGACAATGGAGATGTGAACGGCAGCATGCACTAGCTCTAACTGACTGTGCTGGTGCGAACTAGAAGGTACCTAGCTCATGTTTATGGAGTTCGGTTTCAACCAGGATTACGTTATGCTCACTTGGTACCTTTTAGTTCACACTCGCACGGTCTACACAGGCAGGTAGAGTGCTACACATTAGCACACTCTACAAGTCACACCGCCTTAGACCACACTGCACCACAGTGTAGACAAGCCCTTTTTAATCTCACACGCCTGAACAGACAATCGAGAGAAGAGATGTGCTTGTTCAAGGTTCCTCACTCGCCACCACGTTACTCAAGGGATCAGAACACTCACAGTGAGGGCTGGAAATGGTTTTCTCAGCCGGTGAGAATTTTTGAGGTTCCAAAAACTTTCCCCTCCTGAATCAGGACAAAAGGTCAAACGTTTGAAAATGTTCACAAGCCAACAAGCTGAAAAAATAAAATCGTTTCGGCTCAATTGAAAAGTTTTGTTTCAATAATTACAAAATTTTTCTTTTTGATTTCTGACCTAGTTGTGGTAGAAATAAAATTACATTTCAAAAGAACTGAAAAACGGAAACTTTTCGTTTTGAGCCTGTGGAAATGGGATGTTTCAGCGATTTCAGAACTTTTGTTTCTAACATTCATTCAAGTCAGAGAATTCTTCGGCAGGGACCCTTTTCTGCAACAGTTTCCATTTTGATGAACCAGCATTTTTCAGAAAAACGTTTTGTCAAAATTTCCCAATCAGCTGTACAGGTCTGTCGCATCTTACACGCATTTAACATGCGTGATTTCAGCTTTATGCGGTCGGCAAAAACAAAAAAAAACAAAAACAAAAAAGAGAAAAATAACCATTTTAATACTGTACCGGTAGTGCGGGCGATTCCGCCCACCATTGAACTCAATGTAATTTTGACTAGACGCGGTTTTCGCTTTACGCGCGAACCGCGGAACGGAACCCTCGCGTAAGATGAGATTCGCCTGTACTCACCATCCTCGCCTGAGACTTCCAATGAGTCCTCCAGTAAAAGCGAGGAAGATTAAGATTAGAATTCCTGATATTTTCAAAGGTACAAACAAGCAGAAATCCCCATTTCTCTAACGTTTTTATTTGGGGGGCGGGGGTGGAGACTCTTAGGAAACTCTCTAACGATGGGCAAATCTCCAGTTAGATTAAACACATGGCTGGGAGCCTGGAATGCCTTAACTCTAATTCCAGCTCTGCTACCGACTCTGTGTGTGACGTGGGCAAATCACTTAACTTCTCTGTGCCTCAATTCCCTCATATATCAGATGGAGATAATGATCCTTACCTGTCTCACAGGATGGTGACAAAGGTTATTGGCCAATGTTAATGGAGCACTCTGAAAATAGAAAGTGCTTTATAGTGCCTCGATCCTGCAGTGATGGGTGTACTAGAAATGCCACAGACAGACAGGGCCTGATTTTAAATCAGGCTTCCATTCATTGTATGCACAACTTATGATGTTATGTAGATGTGTAAATACCTGATTGTGCCTACAAATCTGGTACTTAGATGTGCAAGTGACCGTGCCTCCATTAATGATGACAGGTGCAAAACTGCATGCACAATTTCTCCAGGTGCTGGTGTGGCCCTCATCATAGTTCACAAGTATATTAGCCAGGTGTAAAAACGGAGACCAGCTTTTAAAAACTACGCTCATCAGGCCTAAGCAGAAATTATTACATAGTAACACTTGCTTAGCCATGGAAAGTGAGACTTGAGTTACCAGCGTCGTTGGCTCCCCTAGGCACTCTGTGACTTCCGGCTGGTGCTTTAAACGCGATCTATTTAGGTCAGCCCATGGATTTAGTGCTCCCCAGCCCCAGTCGCTGTGGAACCCTGGCCAGCCAGGACTGCCGAAGCAGCATGAATAGCCCAGAAGAAGGTGTTGGGGGGTGAGGGGAGCAGGGTGCCTTGTAGCACCCAAAGTGCAATATTAATGGGTCTTCTTGTCTTGTCCAGGCGTCCATGGCTTCCTGGCTGTGACCTCACTGCTTGAGGGAGGAAATGTGTGTGTGTGTGTGTGTGTGTGTGTGTGTGTGTGTGTGTGTGTGTGTACATGCACAGCAGGGGGAAATGTGACCATCACCCGGGCTTTAATAGGTGTGGGACATAGAGAACTCTGAGGATACATAAAAAAAAAACTAATGATCTATAGTATTGCTAACTCTAAACATTTAAGGATGATGAACCGGCTGCCCAAAATCATGAGACTGGTTTATAAATCATGAGACTCAAAAGTGAACAGATGGGGGGTTCTTTATATTTACTTTCAGGTGCTGCAGCATTTAGGGCTCATGTTTTCAAGCTCTTCTCCACAGTCGGGAGGACTAGAGAGTTACTTTTTCTTTTAAATGAAAGCTGAGATTCTCCTGGAATAACCTGATTCCAGCAGCTCAGGCTTTAGGGAAAATACCAACTATCACGGTAAAATCACAGGAGCTGGCGATGCTGGATCTGCACCTCTATTTAACATCATGCCCCAAGCCAATGGGTCTCACTAGAAACCACAGGGCACAAGACTCGACCTCCTAAAGGAGCCCTTGACCAGAGAGACCCTTAGCACCGTAAACCTGCTACCACCACAATTACATCCTTGCTGGCCGTTCAGAGGGGATAGGATTTAGACCCAGCGTGTGTTTTAAATACATTAGGGATGGAAAGACCCAGGAGGCTATTCCAGCCATCCCCCTGCCAGTGCAAGATTATTCCCCTTGGTTCGATCTTCAGTGATTTTCTCCGGTGCTGTTTTAAATCTCCCAGCATGATGGGGTTTGCACCACTTCCCTTCTGAGCCTGTTCCTGCCTGTCATCTAAACTCTGACCTGAAGGTGGCAGCAATTCTGTACTATTAACAGAGCTGCTCGAAGCTCACCATTAATGCATGCCTCTTTTGTGATGCTTAACCCATTATTATTATTTACAATAGAAAAGGCTACACAATGACACAGAAAAGCCCCTTTGGCAAATCTCACAGATCGTCCCTGCAAACACCTTTCATTCCACTCACTGCCCCCTGGGAAAAGGCAGCCTCCCAAAAGCGGAGTCAGCATAGAGGCTTGGTGGGCGCTGAGTCTGGGACAGCCGAGGGTCGCAGGGAGAGTGGATATGGGGTTAGGGCTTAGGACCAGGAAGATCCCTGGGTGTCTGAGGCTGGGCTGTGCCTCACCATGTCTGACCCCGGCTCTCGGGATGGTCCCGACTGCGGCCTCGTTTATCTTGCCCCATGCCCTACATTGTGGGTTTGCGTGTGACACCATCTCCTCCCCCGCCTCTACACCATCTGCCCGGACGTGCAGGCAAGTGACCTTCCCCAGAGGCAAATGTTCATGCTGCAGCTTGCCCAGCCGCGAGTCATCACAAGGAAGTGGCCACGCGCTGCCTGTTTGCTCACAGCCCTAGGGCTCCAAGACACCCTGGAGCTGGCAACCTGAGCAGCATGACTGGTCCCTCCGGAGCCTGCAGCAGCTGGACCTTTTCAGCATCCAGTAGGTGCTCTATGGACCCCTCTGCTGCCAGACGGAATTAGACTGATGCTCCAGACAAGCTAGTGTCCCATCTCCTGCTGCCATTAGCCCAACCACCAGATGATATGAAGAGTTCCTCATATGTATATGGTCCAACTGGGCCATAGCCCATAGAACTGGCAAAGGGAGGGGTAAATTAGACCACCAGTGCCAGCTAGCATTGCCCTATAGGAAGGCAGGCATGTTTCTGCTACCACCTTCCTTGGATTTCTCGCCGAGGGGCAAAAGCTTTGAATTGCATCAAAGGAATCGCAGGAGCCGCTCAGAGGAACTGCTAAATAGCATCATTCCCATCTGCCCCAGCCAGGCCTCCTTCCCCACACCTGTGGCTGCCCATCAGAAGGGGGCCTCC